AGTATCTTTTGTTTAAAGGAAAAAATGGTTTTACATACTGTGCTTTATCTATAACCTTTGGGTTGGTTGCCTGCTCTTTGTGCCCAGCACGATGCTGGGTGTTGGTGTTATAAAGAGGAAGGACTCTGATCGCCTGCCCTCTTGTGACTGCTAATCCTCTTCCACAGAAGGATGCATGTCCTGAAACTGTGGAAAAGGAATCCGTGATTGTTGAGTGAAGTGCACAGACTCAACCACAGTCAGGATGGATTGCGGTTTCACTTGTGTAATCCTGCAAGCGTGACAGCTTTGAAGAATGTCTTACATCTCTCCTGGTAGAGCTGGGGATCACCTAAATTCCAAGCACTCCGTGGGCAAGGAGAGGCTGCTGTGAACTGCGAAAGCACTGTAACCAAATGTCATGGGTCTTTTTACATGTCTGTTCATTATGAGTGCTGCTGTTTCTGTGAGACGAAATGAACCTTGCTTATAATTAGTCGCGGATTCTTCCTCTAAGCAAGAAAAGAAATGAATGAGATAGGGCTGACAGACATGAATTCTAAAAACTTGCATTTATGACTATTTTAAAAGTGCCTATAATTTTGGCACAAACTATCAAATTGCCCCATGTTCTCAAAATAGATTTGTATTGAATTTTAAGGAAATAGTCAAGGCAGAATAAGAACAAACCCTTTGTTCTTTGATTTGCCCCCTCCAGTTCATCCCTGCTTTCCTTGCTGTGTTATTTGGCAGTAATACAGGGTGTTTATCTAGTAGGCTGGCTCTTTGGAGGTGAATGGATAATAAGAGAGGATGTTAATGACCGGCTGCCCTTTCAGCCTTCATATTGTTATGTGGTTCCTGTATGTATGTACATATGTATAGGTGCATGTATGCTCAGCTTTGAAAGCTACAAACAAAGCTATTTCATTCCAATTTGGAATAACTACACAGGTAGTTCCTCACTACTAGCTGATGAGTGCACCGTCACTTTGCACCGCCAAGGAGACTGAGGCTGGAATTGGACCAGGATTCACATCAGTTTCTGCCTGGCTGTACCCTGTTTGTTCTCTGCAAGTGCAGTCACCTCTAGGCCCCAGTCTCCCCTGAGTCAGGCTGAGCTGTGGAAACCCTTTAGCTCCAAGAGTCCCTGTCTTCTGGGAATTTCTCTGGTCAAACTGCTTTTCTCTGTCTCAGTTCCCTTGCTTCTTACTGCAGAGGCTGCTGGGAACCTCTCCCTCCTTAGCTTTTATAACATTATACTTTCTATACTTTGCTTTTACTTCTCTGACCTGCCTCCCCTGCACCTCTAGGTTTCTACTTAAGAATTACCCCATGCTCTAGTGCCCCGATTGTCAAAGGGTGTGCTGCAAGAATTTTTAAAACATGCAATACCTGACTATTTAGTCAGGAGCACTGAACTCTTTTCCTTTAGATTGATTGGCAAATAAAAAAATACAACAGCCAACACAACAAGAGCTGTCCAATGTGAATGAATCAAAATTATACCAATTTTTTTGGTCAGATCCACAAAATATAATAGTATATTTTTTAGTGTGCCGCAGAAGTTTAGTAATTAGTTTGTATATGCCATGAAATGAAGAATGTTGAACATCACTGCCCTAGAGGAAAAGCCCATTTCTCATTTTGTCTTTTGAGGCCATACAAGACATTTTTGTTCTCCTCTTACATGGCTTGGAAAAATATCCAGGATTAAGTGATTGGATGGTTCATCAACTCCTATCCCCGTAAATTTCCCCCTTTCCCTTTAAGTTTTTAACATCTGGACTCATAGTAATTAAGCATCATATCATATGATTTGGTTCATCCAAAGAGGAAAAATTGATAAAAACAAATGAAATCTTAAAAGTCTACTTTGACAAAATAGTAGTTCTGACTTTTGAACATTAAGGCTTTTTTTAGACTAGGTGTCATTTTCATAATTAAAGGCTTATGTGTGTTACAGTCAGAGCAGGAGCAATTTTTCTATTACATATTTACACTTCCTTCTTCCCTAGCCTTCCTCTCTCCTCAGCTTCTGCTTGTTTTTGCTCCTGCTTTTTCATCCTCTTCTGTCTGTTCCTCGCCTCCGTTCTAGCTTTCACATCTTGTTCTCATTAGACTGCAACAGCAAGAGAGGAGGACAGAGTGTGGTTACTTTATCAAGGCCACCAATACGCTCCTCTCTTGGCTTGTCATTTTCTGTAATCATATCCTTAGCCATCCAGGACTTGGTGGCTGGTGTAGTCTTCTTGCTTGTCCTCCCCTGGACCAGCACTGTCCAGTGGAAATATAACCCAAGCCACACACAGAATTTTAAGTTTTCAAGTAGTTACATTTGAAAAATTAAAAAGAAACAAGTGAATGAAAGTTTGAATTTTTCCAGGAAGATAAAAACTTATCAGCTTCTAAACACCTAATAACACAGCTTTAAACAATATAAAGTAAAATAACAAAACGACCAAAAAAATGGACAAATCTGCCATCATAGTGAGAGATTTTAGTATACCCCTTTCAGTAACTGATAGAATAAGCAGACTAAAAACCAATAATGAATTATTCTTAAAAAACAACACAATTAATAAGCTTGATCAGACTGATTATATAGAAAACATAATCCCAGTAGGTAAAGATTATACTTTTACAAAAATTGAGTATACACCAAGTCATAAAGTAAGTCCTAACATTTAAAATAATCAGTATCATACAGATAGAGTTTTCTGAACACATGCAACTAAATTATATATCAATTTTAAGAGATAATTTTAAAAAATTTGAATTTGAAAGTATTGAAATTTGAAAGATTGAGAAGTAAATGAAAAAATGTATATCAAAACTTCAAGATGAATTGTACACTTAAAAAAACTTATGAGATGCAGCCCTGGCCAGTTTGGCTCAGCAGTTAGAGCGTCGGCCTGCGGTCCGGAGAGACCCGCGTTTGGTTCCCTCTAAGGGCACGTACTTCGGTTGCAGTTTGTCCCCGGCCCTGGTTGGTCGTGAGGGTGGCAGCCACTCGATGTGTCCCTTCACATCGATGTTTCTCACTCTCCCTTTCTCTCTCTCCCTCCCATTCTATCTGTACAAAAAATGGAAAAATATCCTCGGGTGAGGATAAAAAAAAAACTTATGAGATGCAGCTAAGTCAGTATTTAGAGAGAAATGTATAGTCTTTTTTTGTTTGTTAATCATCACTGAGGATATTTTTCCATTGATTTTTTTTTTTATAGACAGAGTAGAAGGGAGGGGAGGGAAAGAGAAAGAGAGAGAGAAACATTGATGTGAGAGAGACACATCAATTGGTTGTCTCCTACACGACCCCAACCTGGACTGGGGATCTAACCTGCAACTCAGGTACATGCCCTTGACTGGGAATCAAACCCATGACCCTTCGGTCTGCGGGCTGGTGCTCTAACCACTAGGAAAAACTGGGCAGGGCTGAAATGCGCAATCTTAATTGCTCATATTAGCAAGAAAAAAGGCATTAATGAGCTAATCACCTAAATTAAGAAGTTGAAAACATAGCAATGAAAATAAATCCAATGAATGAGAAGGAAGCAATTTTTAAAATCTAGGTGAAATTAATTTTAACAATATTATTTTAGTTAACCCAATATGTTAACTATGTTATCAAGTCAAAGTAAAAATTGTTAATGAGCTATTTTACATTGTTCTGTTCAACTAAGTCTTCAAAGCCTGATGTGTATCTTGTACTTACATAGAGCACATTTCAATTTGGTCCAGCCATTTTTGAAGTACTCAGCAGCCACACCGGCTAGTGGCAACTGTATCGGACAGCATGGCTCTAAGTCTTAGTCAGTAAACAACATTGAGCTGACTTGTCTTGATAAAGTGAACAGTGAGAGCTAACAGTGGTGGGATTCAGTTATCTGCCAAGTGAATCTAGAGTCAGGGTAATCTAGCAGTGTTTGTGGTTGGCAAAGAGAGTGGGCTCTTTGTAAAACTCTTGATACTAAACACCCGCTCTCCAGACTGCAGGCCAACGCTCTAACCGCTGAGCCAAACCAGCCAGGGCTAAACATCCCCTCTCAACAAACTCACATACAACAAAACATAGATAGGACCAGAAAAAGCATAAATATTCTACTGACTTACTTTATCCTCACCTGTTCTAGGCATGTTATATATGTCAGCCCATTTAATTTTCAAAAGCGCCTTATGAGTTTGATACCATTGTTATCCCCACTTGACACATGAGGATGCTGAGGCTCAAAGAAGTTAAGAAAGTCTAGAGGAGAGCTGGGATTCAGACTGGGGCAGTCTGGCCTGCAGGTGGTAGATGAAGCAAATGCATCTCTGTCTTTGTGGCATATAGTGCATTCCCACCCCACCCCTCTGAAAGGCTCCTGGGGAAATTCTTGGGAGGGTTTAGCTGAGGTTGGTGAGATGGCTCTGTTCCCTGGTCCAGGTCTTGCATTCCCAGGCACACCGCCTGACTGGTCTCATCTCACAAGAGGACTTCTCCATCACCATTCTAGCCTCAAGAGAGGTCTCTCCAAAATCCAGTTCCAGTTTCAATCCCCTCCTCCCCCAGTTTCTCCTTTTAGGATACAATTCCAACCCAACATGGCAGAGCCTGCTTCCTCCTCTAGCCTCTCTGTACATTGTTCCCCCTGGGCTGGACCTGCAGACACTCCCCTGGGAACTTTTTACCCTTGGTGCCTACTGTCCTTGCTCAGGTGGCACCTGCCTCTCCCTGCCCCCACCCCCACCTAGTCCTATTCATTTCTTCCAGGGGAGCCTTTTTTAAGCTCCCTCCCAGACACACATACACACACACACACACACACACACACACACACCCCAAATATAAAACATCTAACACTGCCCTCATGTTCTCTGTAGAATAATAAGTTAAGAAGAAATACTGTGAAAATAATTACATTGGTGATAAATCTACTTGTCCAATTTTGGAAATGAGATTGTGAGAGCTTTTTCAAGAAGAGACTGTTGCTTATTTCTGTATCCCCGGGTGCATGCTGCACACGTCATTAAAGACTGGATGTGTGTGTGAAGGCATGCCTGATTGGGACTCGGCCTAAATGCTGGCTTCCCAGATTTTTGGAGCAGAGTAAAGGGATGTATGATTGGGGTATAAAAGGAAATTGGATGTTTTAGCCATCCCTCCTACAGAACTAAATACATGTGGCTGCTTTTAGGAATTCAGGCACGTTTAACTTTTTCTGAGCTTGAAGTGACCCTAGCAAAACTTTCCTTTGTCCGCTATATGGTTGTTTCCTCTCCTTCAGTCTCTTAGCTGCCAGGGCTGGTCAAACTCCAGGTTGTTTCCAGTGACCACCACTTTGCTAGGGTCATTACCACTTGCTGATTTGGGGTTTTATATGACCAGTCTGGTTCTTCTATTCCTATAGGACGAACAGGATTATTGAATACTGGATTTCTGCATAAACTGCCTTTCGAATCCTCCACCTTGCCTTAGCCATCCACCCAGCCAGGTGCTCCCTGAGGAGGATTACTAAAGTCCTGTTTAGTGATGTCACTTTGTAATCCCACACCTTAAGAACCCGTACACCTACCTTGTCTTTTTGGAGGTGAGATCTCAGTTATTTTAAAATTTGCATACACTCTTTCCCATTATCTCATTTCCTGTGTTTCCCATTATATTCAAGTCTAGAGGAAGGTCCCTGTGTTGGAGCCTTCTAATATTGGGTCCCAGAGTTGCTTTTTGTTAGCTAATTCTCCTAATCTTCACTTTCTCTTATTAAAGATTATTTATTCAACCCAACTACTTGCATTTCTCTTCAATTAAGAGTGAGATCTTTTAGTAAAGAAGTAGCTATTAGATTTTGCTTTATTTGTGGCTGTCATGACTCATTCTCCTGTAGCATGTGCTGCATATATAATTTGCTCTCACAGGGGCCACCGCCAGAGAGCTGTTAGCAAAGGGCTTTTGTTAGAGCTTGGAGAGACCCCAAGAGGAGGGGCAGTTCTGTGAGCAGTTTTCTCAGTTTCCCCAGTGTCATGTCTCATTCCCTCTGGCCCCACCTCTGCTGTTAAGTCATCTCAGGTCTCAGAATGGTGACAATATGTGCAGCCTTCCTGTATACTCTTTTTTTTATTTTTTTCTGTTCGTGCCCTGAATTTGTTATTATGCAGGCCGATCCCTGCTGACTGGGTGCTGTAAGAACAGCCCCTGCCAGCTTAGTCACCAAGTTGGGAGGCATCTTCTTCCTGCACATTTCTTGGCCCCCTTCTTGCTGTCCCTGCTCTGGCTCAGCTCCCCTCACCTCTGGCTGCAGTGATCTCAGTGGCCCCTTGACTATCCCAGGGTGAGTCCACCACCCCCTGCTTAAGAACCACTGAGGGTCACCCGATGCCGCCTCTGGGGCCAGTTTGGTGGGCCTGGTTCCTTCTGAACTGCATCTCCCACAGGTCCCCTGTGCTCTGGCCTGAGCACACCTCTCTGGGCATTAGGCATGCCCTTCCTGCCATCAAGAATGCCTGCTCCTCTCCTTCTGAATGTCTCTGCAGTCTTGCCCATCCTTCAAGGACCCATTTACACATCATCTCAGGGAAGCCTCCCTGTTTCCTGAGATGGAGCCAGTGTCCGTGCCCCGGGCATTCCAGGTGCACTGCTGCTGCTCTGCCGTGGCGTCCGTGCTTCAGTATTTGGGGTATCTCGGTATTTTTGCCTTCCCTGGCTGGGTCATTCACTTAAAGAGGAAAGGAGCTGTGTCTTAAATATCTTTACATTCCCATTGCCTATGTAGGGAAAGTGCTTATTAATGTTTATTTAATGGATTATTAGTTGAAGAAAACAAATTACACAACAATACAGGCCAGCCCTCCTTAGGCCAGCTCTACAAGAGAATTTAGCCCTAATACTCTAAGTCAGCCATTGCAAGTTGTGAATAACTTCTCTCCCATGCCTCTGGAATGAGTCTAAGTACCGATCATCCTTAGGAGAATTGAGAAAATAGACATGCACATCCTTTTCTGTACTTGTCCAGTAGAGCCCCACTCAAAGAAGGCTGGATGGACAGCATGATTTCAATCCTGATAAAATACACACATGCAAAGAGAAAAGACCTGTAGAACGGTAGACCAGAAAGTTAACAGTAGATGTCACTGGGCTGTGGTGTAACGACCAGTATGTGATTTCAAAATGTTTTCTCCGCTTTCACATCATTTCTGAAGTTTCTAACTTTGTGATAACCGTTTGAAACAATGTTTCTCCAGTAAGCGAAACCCGAGTTCCCATACTTGGTTGTGCCTCAGTATAAGGCGGTGAAGTTGGAGTTTTTGTTTTTAAATAGAGCTCCCTGTGCCCTGCCGCAGTGGGCCCGGAATCACTGAGCTGAGCCCCTCAGCCTTGTCCCTGGAGAACTGGGCCTCGGCCTGAGGAGGCTTGGCTGTCAGCTCTGCACCAGGGTGGCCCTTTTTGCTGCCACAGGGCACCTTGGGAACTGAAGGGCTGAGTTCCCAGCAGGCATGGCTCACCGTAAGGGAATCTGGCACATTCACGGATACTCACGGCTGCTCTCATAAGCAAATCTAGAGGTGGCGTGTTTTTTTTCTTAATAGCCAAGAGTGGACACAACTGGAAGTTATTTTAATTAAGTCTTATAGAGGGGTCTCACGTGCTCATCCGCTAACACTGCGACTGGCCCTCGTTTTTTCCCTGAAGTTGGACCTTGTTTGACCTCACACAGAATTTTATCTTTTATCCAGGGAAGAATCTACCAGTGGGTGGTAAAACAAGTAGGTTTGGTGAAGAACAGGATATTTGCTTAGTCTCTGAGTGTCTCCTATCAAGTTACTTATTAATTACAAAGGGAAAATTGTAACTTGACAATGGAGAAACCTGCCTTACACCACTTGAGCCAGTAGTCACATTTAATGCCACCAGTACTGGGACAAATCAGCACATACACGCCTCCCGTGAAATCCATCAAGAAGGGCCCAGAATCACTTCTGTGATCTTCCTGCCCCAAATGATGAAACAGACAAACCTCAATTTAGGGGCATTACAGAAAATTATTGGCCTGTACTGTTCAAAAAATGCCAAGGTGGCCCTGGCCAGTTTGGCTCAGCGGTTAGAGCATTGGCCAGAGGACCAAAGAGTCATGGTTTCGAGTCTGGTCAAGAGCACATACCTCAGTTGTGGTTCATCCCTGGCCCTGGTCGGGGTCGTGCAGGAGGCAACCAGTCGATGTGTCCCTCTCACGCTGATGTTTCTGTCTCTCTCTCCACCTTCCTCCCTCCCTCCCACTCTATCTGAAGATAAGTGGAAAAATATCCTTGGGTGAGGATTAAAAAAAAAAAAGCCAAGGCCATGATTAACAGAGGCTGAAAAGATAAGACAGCTTGCTCTCTAAGGCCATTTTGGGAACTACTAGAGAAATTTGTATTAGGTCTTTAGAGAAGATAACACTACTGAAGAAAAAATAATTTCCTGTTTTTTATCATTATACTGTGGTTGCTAAGGGAATGTTGTAACTTATTTTCAAACGGTTAAAAAAAGTGATATGCCAGTTATATAATAGAATGTGGTAACATGGCATATGTACTGAACTTTAACAATTGGGAAGTATGGGTGAAGGGTATACGGGAATTCTTTGGACTCTTCTTGCAGTCTTTCCGTAAGGTTGAGATTATGTCAAAAAATACGGTTTAAAAACTCTGAAGCCTCCAGGTCATGGTGCTGAAGTCATTTCCCACAGCACTGAGCTCACTTCATACTTGGCTTTTCTTGCTCTGGCATCAGCAGAAAACAGGGTAGACAACCACTAATAGTGTGGCTTCAGCTGACAGGAAGGTTTCTTCCTTCAGCGGTCTGGAGCGGCGGTGGCGGCTGTGCTGGACTTCACTCCTGCTGCTTGTCCTCAGGTCTGGTCAGCCATCTCTGACCCACACTGTGACCTGGTTTAGACGAGGCCTCCAACTGTCCTGTGAAAGAGGCTTCCCAGGCACAGTGTGGCTTTGAAAATAGATTTAAATGCTGTTAAGAGTGTTTGTGCATAAATGCAGTGCACTTCACCAATGTCAACATAAGAAGCGTCCATACCTGTAGAGAATTTTTATGAGTTTATTGAGCCAAACTGACAACGCATGCCGGGAAGCAAGATCTCAAATGTTCCTGAAAATAACAGTTTTGTGGCTTCTTTTATGTATTTGAAACTAAGGAGGGGGTGTAAGGAAGATTGGAGAAAGCAAGGCAGGGATTGGATTATAGGATAGTTAACAAAATTATATGCTCTCTTGTGGGTTAACACCCCCTTAAAGAGGTATTACTTCTGGTATTTCAAAGGTGTGTTAACCTAGATGCCCAGGAAAAGTGGACAGGGTTGGCTTAAGACCTTTCACTAAAGAATTTATAGGCATGACTACCCACCATGACCTGCCCAGTTAGGAATTTATGATCAGATTACCCTGTGAGGTTACTTTCCAGAGCACCCCTTTGTTTCGTCCGCACCGGGACGCTTTGGTTGAGCCCTTGCCAGCCAATCAGGCCCAGGCCTTCAGAGGGGGCATTTTACCCAGAGCCTTGGCACTGGCCAGTTAGAGATGGTCCCCGCTCCTTCCTTGACAGAACCTCAGGTTGTATGCTTTGGTAGAAATCCTGCAGGTACTGTGTTCTGCATGAGGAAGGGGTTCCTTTTCCAGCCCGCAGGTCATTTTTATCCAGGTGAGGGCAACCTTCTGTGCTCTGGCTGGAATCTCTCCCGTGGGGTGGGGGTGGCAGAGGCAGTTCTTGGATTCAGATGGGAAGCTCTAAGTTGGGGCCTGAAGTTACTTGTGGGTGGGTCTGTTTATCTGAATTTGTCAAGAGGAGTTCCTCTGAAACTTGTGGGCCCCAGAGAACAGAATATGGTAAGAATAGTGACAAAGCTTTGTTCCTCTTTTCGGTCTTCCCCTTCTAGCTCTTTTTTCCCTGAACATCCCGTCCTTTACCCCCACACCATTTCTCTTCTCTTGTGTTCCCATCTTTCTCCCCTTTTATCTTTTTAATCTGTCTTTTCCCACTTATTCCAGCTTCCTGTTTCTCTCTCCTAAGTGGCCATAAAATGTTAACATCCACTGAATAAGCTACATTTTACGTTTCCGTTTCCTGTTATTTGAAAAGTAGGTATGTGAGACTCAAAGTTTTAGTTGGAAGAAGGGGCAATAAAAGTGTTCTCGCTTTTTTTTTTTCTTTATCATTTTTTTTTTTTTTTTTATCCTCACCCAAGGACATTTTTCCATTTTTTGTACAGACAGAGTGGGAGGGAGAGAGAGGAAGAGAGAGAGAGAAACATCGATGTGAAAGGGACACATCGAGTGGCTGCCACCCGCATGACCAACCAGGGCCGGGGACAAACTGCAACCAAGGTACATGCCCTTAGCGGGAACCGAACCCGGGTCTCTCCGGACCGCAGGTGGGCGCTCTAACCGCTGAGCCAAACTGGCCAGGGCGTGTTCTCGCTTTTTACATATTAACAATCATCCTTACAGAGGTCACTTGGCCACAATCAGATATTCAACAGCGGAACAGTTGAATATTTTATCTCTTTCCTCTTCTCTTAAAAAACAAAGTAATGGCCCTGGTCAG